GAAGCTCTGATAGCGTAGTGGTTACGAGGTAGGCTGCTAACCACAAAGTCAGCAGTTCAAAACTACCAGCTGTTCTGAGGGGAAAATATGACACTGTTTGCTACGTGAAGGTTTACAGCCTCGGAAACCCTATATAGGGTTGCTGTAAGTTGGAATCAACTCCGTGCCGCACTACCACCACCACCACCGCTATGGACGTTGCTTCATTATTTTAGCTTTTAATGTTCTTTCTACTTCATTTCTTTTGTGACCTATTTTTTCCACTTTGGAAACTTAGAGGATCTTTCTTTTATCTCTAGTATTCTGAAATACTAAGATGCTATATTTTACATGATGTTGTGTTTTTTTTTTTTTATTTTGGATTCTGCAGAGTACCCTTGAGTTTTCAATCTGGAGATTTGTATCTTTCCAGTCTAGAAAAAATATTATTTCATTCGTTTGGTAATTTCTTTTTCTACTGTCTGTACCCTCAAATGATAATTTCCCTGAATACTTCTCTTATTTGTATGTTGCATTCTTTACTTCTTTTTGTTTTGCAAGGGGACCTCAGAAAGTTAGTGGAAAAGTTTCATTATCTTGTAATTCCATTTTTTCTATGAACTTTTTAGGAGGGTACCTCAAGTTTCTCCCATTTTTACGTTGAGTTTATGTGTCATGTTTTGAATTTCTATAACTTGAATAATTGTATTCTGATTGCATTCTACAGAAATTTTGCCTCTGGTATTCTTTGATGATGTAAGGAAACAACCGTAGTCTCCTGACAGCATTGTGCAAACAGACCAGAAAAAGGAGCCTTTGAGTTTCAACATAGAGTATATAGATTTTCTTATGTTCCTTACATGAAGGGACTTCATGGAAAAACCTAATTTAAGGGGGAAAAAAAGGAATTTTTCCACAAAGTTTATGAAGTCCCTTTGTATCTGTAATTCTTCCCCCTAGCTCTCCTCCTTCCAAGATGATTGTACATTTACATTAGGGGGAAAATTGTGAAATAATAATGTTCCAAAAAATAAATAGCCTTGAGGTATAATATAGAGCTAGGGGATACTTCTGGGTTTCTGCTGAATTCAGTACAACAACTCTCTTTTCACCATCTTTCTTTTATGGAACTTTCCACCTCCATGTCCTGAGCCTGTCTAGGGCTCTCTTAAGTAAGGAGTCCTGGTATAAAATTAGAAATCAACAATAAAAAGACGAAGGATATAAAGTCAAATACATGGAAACTGAATAACACCCTGCTGAAACCTGACTAGGTAGTAGAAGAAATAAAACGTGAATTCACAAAGTTCCTAGAAACAAATGACAATGAAAATTCAAATACCATAATCTTTGGGACACAGCAAAAACAGTGCTGACAGTAGTGAATAATTGTTGTTAGGACTGACTGTGAGGGTTGGAAATGTAAAGGTAGACATTTTGTAGCAAAAGGAGGGCTATGGTTGACTTTGCAGTCCAGGAGCAGAGGTCCCGGGACCATCATGGGAGAAGATCAGAGTGCGAGACCCTATCCAGAGGGGCAGTTATGCCAGAGATGGAGGCAGAGACGATGATGTGAAGAGAGGGGGCTGGGGACTCTAGACCCAGAGAGGGAGAGAGGCTGTGTGCTGACGACCAGGGAGCAGGCTTGCAGGGTTGGTTGATGATGCATGGAGGGGATTGTAACCATGGCAATGAAACGATATAC